GGAAAGTACTTTTTCATCATTAGAGAAAATCTGTAAGAAATTAGTTACTGAATCTGGCTTTGGCATGAGGACATGGGCTAAAACTGTTTTTGATCTGTTGCAACTGGTATGTTGTTGGGGATGCTGCTATTTGTTGAAGTTTCTCTCATCTTTCCAGCAGAAAGAGTTGGGCTTTTTGTGAGAAGCTAATGTATATTTATTAATAGATAATATAAGTTATATATCTAATAATGGTGTCCTCTTCCCTTTGGCTGCTTACAAAGGTCAGAGCCAAATAGGCCAGCACTTGGAAGAATGTGTGATTCACAGAACGCCTTTCATGTCCTAACCACAGCCCTGCCACTCATTTCTCTATCCTATCTTTTCCCCCCATCACATTTATTTAACTGATTGTATCTTGCTAAATTGCAGGCATCTTTTAAGCCATCTTCAGTCCTTCCCAGGACAACGCAAATAAGTAAATAAATAGTTACTGACTCAAATGTTTTTAATCTTATACTTGATTCCTGGCTTTGCTTTAATAAAGCACTTTGAGTTACTGGCACTCAAACAACTCAAAGTATCAATGTTCTATCACTTTCTAGAATGAACTAATCCAGCAGAGATCAATTGATGGCAAAAAGCAATAGTATATTAAACTCCAGAGTTCCTAGCTGGAAGAAATTGTAATTTTAAAATTGGTTGATCAAGAAATAGATGTTGGCAATTGACTCAATTTTAGTAATGTTTTAAATAAGTCTATTTTAATAATACATATACAAATGATGAATTTATAATTTGTTCATTAGTCACAATCCATCTACATACATTTGAAAATGGTGGCATATACATATGGTGAAAATAGGATTTTCACTGGCTTTCAGATTATGTTGGTGAGCTTATAAACTAGAAGATCCCTTGCAAGAAGGCCATAGATTCCCTAGAGGTGAAGCTTTGCAGGCTGGAAATCTTGGCATTCTTCCTTTACTCATTTGTGAAGGCATATTGGGTGAGGTGCTAGAGTCCGCAGGCATGCTTTTGTACTAGAGTGCTTCACTTTCATGAGAACTGGAAAACAATGGGCTCAAAATCAACCTTTAGTAACAAAATTTCCCTTTAACTTTCTAGACGTGTGTCAAAATCGCTTCATTAAATTTCAACAGTGTTTAAACATGCATTTGTACTGTGATTTTCACTTTTTAAGCACTCAAATGTAATATTTTGTTATCAATTATATTATTTATCAATTATATATTCTTATTAAAGAATATATCTAAGAAGAGAGGGATCTCATTTTATGAAAAAGAAATAGGGAAGAAAATCAGTGAACTGAGGTCGTGCTGCAAGTTAGAGGTCAGCCCTAGACTAGAACTTTATTTTCTAAGTTTTTAAAGAGATGGGGTCTTGCTACTTTGCCCAGGTTGGCCTCAAACTCCTGGGCACCAGCAATCCTCTTGCTTCAGCCTGCCCAATAGCTGGACTATAGGCACAAGCCACCACACCCAGCTAGAACTTTTCCTTTCTTTCTTTCCTTCTTTCCTTTCCTTTTCCCCTCTTTCTTTCCCTCCCTCCCTTCCTCCCTTCCTCACTTCCTCCCTTCCTTCCTTCCTCTTTCTCTTGTTCTTTCTTTCTTGATTTCTTCAGGGTCTCTCTCTGCCCTGATCAAGCTATCCTTCCCACTCAGCCTCCCACTCATAGTATCTGGTACTACAGGTGCACGCCACCATGTTCGGAAAATTTTTGTATCTTCGTAGAGATGGGGTTTCACCATATTGTGTAATTCTGGGCTCAAGTGATCCTCCTGACTCTGCCTCCCAAAGTGGTGGGATTACAGGTGTTTGCCACCATGCTGGCAGAACTTTAATTCTTAAAATGATTTTTTGCTGCTTTTTCCTTTATCTTATATTGCCTAAGGGCTGTCTTTCTCTTTTTTTGAAAAATATTTTTAAGTAAACAGTGTCTCAAGCCCTAAGCCACCCCTTCATCTTTTACAGTTTCTGCCAGCAAAATTATAGTACTGTGCACAGGCCTGGGTCTCCTTGTCCTTCAACAACTTTGGCTCCCCCTGGGGTCTTGAAATCACTCTGCCATCTATATACAATAAGAAATCAAGATTATCCTCTCCAGCTGGCAGCTTTTCTGCTACACAGATTTGCTTTTCCATGAACAAAAACTGGCACATCCGATCGACTGGAATTTTGTGGCTGCTTAATGGAATGTATTGAAACCAACTCAGCTAAGTAGTGTTTCTGTGTCTAGTCATGCCTCAGGAAGGGGTGTACTTAAACCCCAATATGAAAAAGCATTCAATGAAAGGCCCTCTTGCCTCAACAATGTCCCCTGCAGATACTTTCCGGGCATGAGGGACGCTGTAAGGGCTCCACTTTGCTTATGTCCGTGAGAATCTTTTACTCATCCTGACATGGGCTACTTCTGATTGATAATCCGTCTTGCTTCTTGGGGATCCCCGAGGAATTTTTAAGAAAAAAATGCAACTGGTTTTGTGAAGAGAAAACCAAGTTTGGCTAAGAGTAAAAAAATAATAATGAAAGAAAGTGCATGAGAAGAATAAAAATGAAACACAAGCACTCTTTTCTTTCCTTTAGGGCAGTGCAGGGGACGGAAGGGCAGTGGGAGAGAGTGGGAAACGCACTCTCTGAGTTTATTTTTAACATCAAGTTAAAAGCATACTCTGTGTTCTTTCCTTTTAAAAATTGACTTTTAACCTACTGAGGCATTTTTACTCTATTCTGCCTGTGGGGTAAAACTCCTTTTGTGGCTGGCAACTCCCACTGGGTCTTTTCCCATCATGACAGCCTTACGAGCTAAGTAGTTAGAGCCATGGAAAAACCCCAGCATTTTTCTTCAAAGGGTTTCTCATTAGCATATGCACACAGCTTCTGTGCGCAGAGAAGCTTGGAAACCCTGGCTGCTTACCTGGAGTTTGAGCTTTCTTGCATTTTTCAGAACTGATAGTTAGGGAAAACTCCTGTTTTTAAAATAGTTTGAACTAGTAACATAGTGGAGACGGTCTTTCTTCAGTCCACTGCAAAATTTATTAGTTGAGTTTATGAATAATGCAACATACATACACACACTTACACCTGTAAAATTCAATATGAGTGAACAGAAATGGTAATAGCTAATCTCTAACACTTACTGAAGGCTTCCCATGGGGCAGCCAGATACTGTTTATATGCATTTAATGCTCCGAACAGTGCTCTCAGGGTAGATGATATTATCATCCCATTTTACAGATGAAGAAACTTGAACTCAGGGCTATTAAAGGTTATACTTTCAGTGAGTGAGTTTGGGGGAAGGGATTCAAACTTAGGCAAGACAGTCAGTTCAGGTCCACTGCTAGCCTATACCATAAGCATATAATTAAAATAGAAGCCCCTACTTTAAGATATTGCTGCTTTCATCTTTTGGAAAGTTATCAAAAATACCAATTTTATTAGAAGACATTTTACTGCCACTTACAAGACTGTTGTCACAATAAATATATAGATTTACAATGTGTGGATGAGGTGAAGCATGCTCCCTTACATGTGACAACTTTGTGCAGTGCACAGCTTGCACAAAGGTACATGACAGCCGTTCATACATGTACACATGCAAAAACACATGTGTACTTCCACAGAAGAAAAGAAAAGACTTTCTTAGTTTAGTCTTTGGTCTTTTAGAGGTAACCACACTGATCTCACTCAGCAATGGGTCTTCCATGTGGCTCAGTCTAGAATGAGTACAGATCACATTAAAGGATCTGAAACCAGTTGTATTTGTACGTAGTTCAAAAATACCCTAGTCTTACTTCCTTCTTCTCCTCTGGGGAATAAACACTGAATACACATTTTACATAGGAAGTTCTGTGTATATAGCTGTGTGAAGGGATGAGGAAAAAAGAAATAGAATAGTTCACAAACTGGGGGAGATTAAACTTCTATTATGGAAAATTTTAAACATGTACTGAAGTAGAACAAAAAGTATAATGAACCCCACTTTCCTCCATGAACCTAACATCCAGCTGTAAAAAGCATCAACTAATGGCCATTCATGCTTCATCTGGATTTTTAATCACTCTCCTCCATATTTGAAGCAATTCCTAGACACATCATTTTAGCCAAAAATATTTCAGTACATATCTCTACAAGTTATGAAATATTTTCAAAATATAATCATGATATCATTATTACATCTAAACAGAAATAATAAGAAGGCTTTAATATCATCATATAGCCAGTGTTAAAATTTTTGACTGTCTCCAAAAGGTCCCTAATTTTCTTTTTTCATTTGTTTTTACCTTGTGTTTGTTTGAAATGGGAATCAAGGCCGGGCACGGTGGTTCACGCCTGTAATCCCAGCACTTTGGAAGGCCAAGGTAGATCACAAGTTCAGGAGTTCGACACCAGCCTGGTCAAAGTGGTGAAACTAAAAATGTTTGTATTTTTGTCTTTACTAAAAATACAAAAATTAGCTGGGTGTGGTGACGTGTGTCTGCAATCCCTGCTATTTGAAAGGCTGAGGTAGGAGAATTGCTTGAACCCAGGAGGCAGAGGTTGCAATGAGCACAGATGGCACCACTGTACTCCAGCCTGGGCAACAGAGCAAGACTCCATCTAAAAAAAATAAATAAATAAAAACTAAAACGAAAAAAATAAATGAAATGGGAATCAATTAAGTTCAAATATTGCTTTGGTTGTTATATTTAAGTCTCTTTTAATGTACAAGTTCTTTCCTCATCTTCCTTCATCTCTCTTTCTCGCTCTCTTTTTTTCTTTTTTTTTTTTTTTAACCAGAGCCTGCATTTTGCTAATGGCATTCTAGTAATGTTTAACGTGGTCCTCTGCTGCAGATTCCTTTCTGTATCTGCATATTCTTTTAAGGTATTTGGGTGAATTTTATCCACAACCAGGCTTGGAAAATACTGGAGAAGTTTTGCTTCTGCTTCTGAATTTCTTAATGTCTTTTGTCTTTTTATTTTAATTTCATTTTCTTTCTATTTCTTAAATCCTCCATAGGAAGTATGGATTTCTGAAGGTCTTGGTTGAGAAAACAAAACTTGGAGGAACTTGGATACAATCATAAAACTACATGTCCACCACCTGTTGACAGGTAATGAATGCTGGCTTGAATGTTGAGGGCTCTAGAATCCCTGGAACAACTAAAGAAAGGGGCTTTGGGGGAACAGTTTCTCAGCCAAGCTTGGGATCGGCAATAGATCTGAATTAGTGGTGCTGCAAAAAAAAGAGGACCTCCCAGCTGGAGGGATTTGGTCTCACTTGAGGCCCTGTGGGAATTAGTAACCAGCAGCTGAATTGTTAATTAACAGGCAAAGCCTGGCCTGAAATAAGCTGGTGCTTGATTTCAGTGGAGTTTAAATTGCTGGGAAAATGATTGTTCTAAGGATACTTGACTGATTTTAAGTCTACATGTCTTCAGCAGATTGTAAAATGAACATATTTGTTCATTAGAGTGTTTTTTTTTATTTTTTTAAGATTCTGGTTTTACTGAACAAACCAAAGATCTGTAAGTTCACCAGGCTCTGGTTTACAGCCTCCATCTGCCTAGAAATCTATTGCACTAATGTCCTTGCTAGCACAAGACCACCTTGCTATCCTGGACGCATTTCCAGGAGAAATGCTTGGGGCAGACGCAGTGATGTGTTCTGTCGTAGGCACCTCAGCTGCTTCTGTCATCAACCTGGGTGATATGCTTTGGCTGTGTCTGCACCTAAATCTCATCTTGAATTGTAGCTCCCATAATTCCTATGTGTCATGGAAAGGACCCTGTGGGAGGTAATTGAATCATGGGGCAGGTCTTTCCCACACTGTTCTCGTGATAGTGAATAAGTCTCACGAGATCTGATGGTTTTATAAAGGGGAGCTCCTCTGCACACATTCTCTTTCCTACCACCATGGAAGCCATGCCTTTGCTTCTCCTTCACCTTAGACTGATTGTGAGGCCTCCTCAGCCACGTGGAACTGTGAGTCCATTAAACCTCTTTCCTTTATAAATTACCCAGGCTTGGGTATGTTTTTATTAGCAGCATGAGAACAGACTAATACACTGGGCTTGCTTTCTTTTGTGCATCTTGAAGGATTAAGAAGACTTAAAAAAAATAAATAACAGAGTATTATATTTTCTTGGTGAGAGGTTTTGGACTTTCTTTCCCTATGTCCACATTGATCTGTCAATCCCTGCCCCAGGCTCCTGCTGTTCTCCTCATCCCATATCTGCTGCCTAAAAAGGTGTTTGCTGTCAGAAAGCCGAGGATCAAAGTGTTTCTATCACTGGCTAGTTGGGCGACCTTGGGTAGATCCCTCAATTCTCTGAGCCCTATTATCTTTACATGTAAAATAAAGATTATATCACCTGCTCCACCTCCTATAAGAGGCTGTTGTGAAAATTAGCTTCTTATGGTAAGTGGAGCAGGTGATACAAAAGAGTTAATGTAGGTGAAAGTTCTGTCCTTCATTAAATGACAAAGCATCACACAATTGCCCTTGTTGCCTGCTACCTCCCCTCTACCTGCATTCATTCATTCCTGGCTGAGAGTGTAGAAGTCGAACAAGGCCTCATTACTTTTTAGTTGTATCATTTGGGCAAGGCATGCTGTGAATTTCTGTTTCCTCATACATAAGATGGGAGTAACTTTACCTGGCATTTATTTACATCCTTCTTTATTCACATTGCACCTTGACCCAGTGCTGTTATCAGCACGAAGGCTGAGATAAACACACATAAAGCACCTAACCTAGACTTGGCATCCTGTCGGTACTCAATAAATGGGAATTCTTTTTCCTTCCCTGTTCTTGGAAATTGGACTATGGTATAACCCAGCTGATGTGCCTTCCTTTATAAAGAAAGAACTCCTCCTCTAATGCTGAGGATAGTACTGTCTGAAATTGAAGGAGGGTGAAAACTACTTCACTCTCAACTTTTTCTCTTATTGCTTTGCTCATGGCCCAAACATGCTTCACATTCTCTCTGGAAGTCTGTAGACTAGGGAGTTATAGAATGGAGTCTTCTTTTATTACTTGTGGATAAAGATTCCTCAACAGCATATGTGAAAAAGACTCAAATGTTTGGTTGACTGCAAAATTAACATGAGTCAACAGAGTGATGAGCAAGCAGGAAATGTATTTTAGGAAGTGTGAAGGGAATGGTCCAGTGAGAGGATAGTCTGAGACTCATTCTCCTCGTGTTGGTCAGACTACGCTTAGACTAAAGGACTCAGTTCCAGATGCTGACATCTGGGGACGGATCATCAGAAAGGGAGGACAGGGTGTTTGAGTAACTTTCAGAAAATCTGAGGCTCCTTAAGCTGCAAAAGATGTCTTTCAGGAGGGAGATGTATTGTCTCTTGTTTTTTTAATGGAGGGAACAAAACACTGCCACTTTGGATTTACATAGAGCAACAATTTCTAAGGAGTTTGTAGAAGTACACATTTGAGCTTATGTGACTCCCCAGGGAAGAATTAGGGACAGTAGGCAGAAGTTATAGAGAAGTAGTTTTAGTGGTATTTCTGTTTCTATTCCTCTGCACAACTCTGGGTTATTGGAAGAATTGGTTATTAAAACTATTTAAAACTGGGCTTTGTTACAGCCAGTTTCAGCATGATGTTACATACAAAAGATATTCAAAGCAATATTGAAATTGTGAATTGGAAAGAAATATAACCATAAATATACCAGAAATTAAAACAGGTAACAAGAGACAATAAGGTATGACTTTGTGTCAGTTAATTCAGAAGACATGCAAAATTGTTAACTTCTAGAAAACAATAATCAATATAAACTTAAGAAGAAATAACCTAAATTCTATGATCTTGAAAGATAATACATCAATGATTATATCTACCTATATTATGAAATCACATACAAATAATTTTCTTTTAAGACAGAGTCTTGGCTCACTGCAACTTCTTCCTGGGTTCGAGCAATTCTCCTGCCTCACCCTCCTAAGTAGCTGGGATTACAGGCAACCACCACCATGCCTGGTTAACTTTTGTATTTTTAGTAGAGATGAGGTTTCACCATATTGGCCAGGTTGGTCTCAAAACTCCTGACCTTAAGTAATCCTCCTGCCTCACCCTCCCAAAGTGCTGGGATTTCAGATATGAGCCACTGCACCTAGCCACAGATAATTTTTTACAGGTGATTCTTACCAAGGTTTCAAGGAACATAAAATCCCAATCTTACATAAACTATTCCAGAGACTATAATAACATTACAAAATGAAAGAGTACCCCAAAGCTCATTTTATTAGACTGACATAAACTTGAATCCAAAATAAGACAAGGCCAGTAAAGAACATTTTAGGTGTGACTCACACGTGTAATCACAGCACTTTGGGAGGCTGAGGCAGGTGGATCACCTGAGGATGGGAGTTCGAGACCAGCCTGACCAACAAAGAGAAACCCTATCTCTACTAAAACTACAAAATTAGCTGGGCATGGTGGCACATGCCTGTAATCCTAGCTACTTGGGAGGCTGAAGCAGGAGAATCACTTGAATCTGGGAGGCAGAGGTTGCAGTGAGCCGAGATCGTGCCATTGCACCCCAGCCTGGGCAACAAGAATGAAACTTCGTCTCAAAAAAAAAAAAATTGTAAGCCAACTTCACTTCTAAATATAAATTTATAAATTCTAATAAAATTCAGCAAAATTGGTAACTTTAAAAATGAAAATACACTATATTTTGTTGAAAAACAAAAACATACTATACCATATACTGCATAGTAATACACTATAACTGTTAAGTTCCCGGGAAAGCAAGGATGATTTAATATTAGAAAAATCTATTAATACAATTTACCACATTAAGAAATTGCAAGAGAAAAAGCACGCAATTACTTTAACAGAGGCAGAAAAATTATTTGTGAAAATTTATACTCTTTCATGTTAAAAAAATCAGGAGATACAAATTGAAGCAAATTTTCTTCATACGTCTGTCAGAAACTTGTAGCAAACGTCATATTTAGTGGTAAATCTTTAGTTACTTCCTTTAATATGAGGAACAAGACAAAATGCCTACAATTGTTATTTCTAACCAATCATTATTTGGAGGTTCTAGCTGAACAGTAAGACAGGAAAAGGAAGGCATATAAAAACAAAACAAAACAAAACAATCACTGTTCACAGAAATTGACTGCCTTCCTAGAGTCTGAGAGAAAATACAGGCAAGCAATTGGAACTAACATGAAAAATCAACACATTACTAAACACAATATTAGTATAAAGATAAATTACACTCCAACATCAATAATTTTTAAAATATTAAATATTATTTAAAAATTGGACATTGATATTGTATCCTGAGACTTTGCTGAAGTTGCTTATCAGTTTCAGAAGATTTTGGGCTGAGATGATGGGGTCTTCTAGATATACAATCATGTCATCTGCAAATAGAGACAGTTTGACTTCCTCCTTTCCTAATTGAATATGCTTTATTTCTTTTTCTTGCCTGATTGCTCTGGCTAGAACTTTCAATACTATGTTGAATAGGAGTGGTGAGAGAGGACATCCTTGTCTAGTGACTGATTTCAAAGGGAATTCTTCCAGCTTTGCCCATTCAGTATGATATTGGCTGTAGGTTTGTCATATATAGCTTTTACCATTTTATGATATGTTCCGTCAATACCTAGTTTATAGAGAGTTTTTAGCATGAAGGCTGTTGAATTTTATTGAAGGCCTTCTCTGCATCTATTGAGATAATCATGTGGTTTTTGTCTTTGGTTCCGTTTATGTGATGGATTACATTTATGGATTTGCGTATGTTGAACCAGCCTTGCATCCCCGGGATGAAGCCTACTTGGTCTTGATGGATAAGCTTCTTTGTGCTGTTACAATCTGTTTGCCAGTATTTTATTGAAGATTTTTGCATCAGTGTTCATCATGGATATTGGCCGGAAGTTTTCTTTTTTGGTGAGTCTCTGCCTGGTTTTGGTGAAATGATTTAGGGAAGATTCCCTCCTTTTGTATTGTTTGATACAGTTTCAGAAGGAATGGTACCAGCTCCTCTTTGTACCTCTGGTAGAATTCGGCTGTGAACCCATCTGGACCTGGACTTTTTTTGGCTGGTAGACTATTGATTGCTGCCTCTACTTTAGC